ATATTATATCTATTGGACTTAAACTCTATCATTATTTCCGTCGATAACACCTAGGCGATCCAGAAAAGGATGAGTGGGTCAATGAGTTTTAACAAAACATGGACGGAGTATAGAAAAGGTTTTGGAAATCCTAATGAGTCATATTGGATCGGTAAATACTAATTAACATCTTTTCATTTAATAGCTTATGCAATATCCACTGCAATTTTTATTTTTTGCATGACATATGGAGACAAAGAACAGTAATCAAACTCAAAAGTCAATTGAAACAATATAAATCGAGAGCAGTGCAAACACGAACCTCTGCAAAAATTAGAGGTGGAATCAAGTACTTGAGGAATAAGCATCCCCTGTAGACAGGTCACACCCGCCGTGTGCTCATTGTTATTATCGGGCACACGGAAAAATCCATAGACAATTCAGTGTTTAAATTATGGCTTAACAATTAGTATGGTCGTCCGCGTGGCGCAGTGGTTAGAGCGTCTGCTCTAGAGTAGTAAAGTAAGGAGTTGATCCTTACGTCACGGGTTCGAATCCCACTGTGGGACGTGCAGACCAGTCCTTCGGATGAGACCGTATAAACCGAGGTCCCGTGTCGCAGTAGGTGCTGGCACGAAAAAGATCCCTCACTGCTCAATGGCCGTTAGTGCCGAGTATAGCACAAAATTTGCAGCTCTCCACCGGCATGTGGTGGCGTCTCCATATGAGTGAAAAATTCTCGAGAGGGACGTTAAACAACATGCAAACAGAAAAAAAAAACAATTAGTATGAAAAATGTCAGTCAGCATTTGACTTAATGATAGATTGATTTGATACGTATATTTGATATATATAGATATTTTTGATATCTCAAAAGATGCACATTTATTTAGATATTTCATTTTTTAAACCTATAATTTCGCAGAAATTTACATTTTCACAATTCAGGATACGTGTATATTCTATCGTATCTACCCCTTAAACTTTGAAAGCTTACACGTATTTCACTCATTAACACACATAACACATATTATTGAAAGTTAAGTTTTATTTCCTTGCATTTCACTGCAAAAATCATGAAATAAACATTTTTGTTAATTTATACCATAATAATATGTTGAAGGAAATGACGTGATTCACCTGCTGACCAAGGGAAAAAAATCATCCTTCTACGTCTGTATTACATTACAAAATGGCACAACTTTATACCAACTATGTCAGCAGTTTTCTGTTTCCGGTGAGGTAGACAACTACAAACTCTTCCTAGGATACCCCGTTACCGGAACTTTGGGCAAGTAATAAGAAGAGGGGTTGATTTGGGACTATCATAACAGAGAGAGAGAGAGAGAGAAGGATTAAAAAAATGAGACATGATGATAATAATTGATTAAAGCTTGTTTAATTTTAATCTGATGTAATGCCTTTCTGTAGCAAAATTGTATGTAGCCTTTGTGCCTCATTCTGAGAATGACAAAAAATTCAAAACCAAAGCAATTTATTTCAACATTATTTTTCGTGTTCTCTTCAGTTCAACAATATAAAACATTTCCTTTATGCATTTTCAATTGTCAAAAAACATTGTTTTTCCGCGATTTTTTGCGATTTTGTGATTTTCAGGTTTTCCAACAAACTGTTGGAATATTAATGGACACTAATTGTACTCCTTTCTTAATCTAGGGGGAAACACTTGCTGTGGACTTCAACTCAATATTAAGATATATAGACGACGTCATCCATTAATAATAGTTTCATCCATTCATATGTTCGAATGAACTTGAAATAAAAGGCACCAAAGAGTCTGACACATCTAGTTCATATTTGGATGTTTAATTTACTATAGAAGACAAAGGCCAACTAACACTTTGATTGTATGTCAAACGAGATCACTGCAGTTTTTTCCATCGTCAACTTTCCTTATTTATGTAGTAATATTCCGCTATCACCTACATACGGTGTTAACGTCTCACAGCTTATTCGATAGTCAGGAGCAGGCTCTGAGTACTATCAATTTTTAAACCGAGGCAGGTTAATGCCAGATAAGTTGATGTTACAGGGATTTCAACAACCTTGTTTTAAGTCAGCATTTTGTAAATTCTATGTCCTTTATGATTGGGTCGTATTTTTGCTGATATTTCATACAATTTGTTAGGCCCTTGTTTTATTCTGAATTTGACAACGGAATGTTCCGTCTACCAGATCAATACATAGGGCTCACGGCGGGTGTGACCGGTCAACAGGGGATGCTTACTCCTTGTAGATACCTGATCCCCTCTCAATAATATTTGTGCTCCGTGTTTCATGCCCTGCTCACAAATATGTTTTGTTGTAGATTTTAATGAGAACGATCACTGCTCGTTACCCTCACCTTCTCATAAGGCTAAAAATATACATCATAAATTGAACTTGGGTATATCAGGTAATCATTTTTTTAATCGAAGGAAACACGAACAATTTATATGATCCATGATTTAGTCATTGATTCTTTTTGAAAGATGTATTCAATTTTTGATTTTCATATAATCTCTCCTTCCAGTTTAATCTGATATGCCACATATAAGCAAACATTAAACCATTGCTTTAAAGTTAATTAAAAGACTGTATTCATATCATTTGGGCTCAATAACTTAATATCAAAGCCAGATACAGATGGACTCTTTGAAAAGGATAGATTGTTTCATGCACATCATTTTGATGTATTCCTATGTATTGACCTGTTGCTTTACTGGGTGAAAAAATCTTGTTGAGTCCTTTACAATAAAGATTAAGAAATGTTTATCAGAAAAACAATTTAATATTTTTTTGTGACATGACCGGGCGAGTTTTCCTTTGATGTCAAGCGTACAATAACTGCGATACAGAACACTTTTGTGGGCGTTTCTTATGCAAAAGAGCAGACACTGTACAATGACTACGATACAGAACGGTTTATGAAAGCTCTATCCGTATCTTAAATAGGATAGACATAAGAACCTTCAAATAGCTGTTATTACATGTATTTACTCAAAATATGAAGAGTGAATTTTACAACATACAGTTACCTGTGGTGGATTGAAAAAAATAGAAAGGAGGGAGTGGGGTAATTCCAAAATGATTTTCTTTCACAAAAAAGGAAAATCGTATTTTTTAGGGGAGGGAGGGGGGGGGTTAGTTTCATAATCCGCCCTATGTGCACGATCGTTAGATGTGGAGAAATTAAAGTGTACACAAGTTTAGCAAACATAATTTAAGAAAGCCAAAACGAAAACTCAAAAGAGGGGGGGGGGGTTCAGTTAAGACCCAGGGATATTGTATAGGACGACTGGTGGATGACAATGTCAGATATTTAAGAATATAATCTCCCCAGACACTTTTTGCTTCAATTACATTCCAACATGTTTATTATGTATCAAAATGTTTTGCACGGTATTCCTAGCTTAAATTAAAAAAAAAAAAAAAAAAAAAAAAAAACAGAGGAAAAACCTACGCAATCAAATCTAAATTATATTTCGGCAAAACACAACTATATATCACCTCTCATAAGTAAAATTCTCTAAATTGAAGTATACCTGCACCTCCGCCTTACTCGGCATTTCAGTTGCGACTGATAAAATTGGGGTACGAAATCAACTTTCTGCAAAATCATCTGATTTCTAAGAGATATGTACCCAAATACAGATGTAAATTAGTGAAGTCATATGAAAGGCCATGCCACAAGTCATTTAGAATACTCGTTTCCTACTGTATCGCTCTCGCCTTAAGCTCCGCCCAGTATCTCCGATACAGTAGGAAATTCGTACTTTAAATATTACATATAATTATTTTTACCACATAACTCTTGATAAAATGGTTCTAAATTCCCTAAAAAATATTTAATTTTTAATTAAATGTGTATTCAAGTCATTTAATATTTTTTATATTTATGAGAAATCAGCGTTTCTGATTGGGTTAAAAAATTCTTTGATACCTGCATCAATAAAAATCTTACAAAGTAGCTGGAACTATACATTTATTAAAGTGACTTTTCATATTTCCCCCTCCAGAGTATTTTGTAAAGGAAAAATGAAATATAGTTTACTCTTTTTTCCCTGTATTTCAAAACATTTCCGATGCGTTCCTGAGTCATTTTCTACTCTCGTTTCTTTTCGAATTACCCCTCCCTTTGCTTAAAAAATCGTCTGCATGGCAACAATGCGGGTGCGAGAAGGAAAGGAAGGAATATTTATACATATGTAAAATACTTACTTTTGAAATAATCTTATGAACAATAGAACTGTACATGTGAAGAAATGTTTTATGCTGCCAAAGTGAATAAATGACGTTAGTATATTTATTCTCTGGAAACGCGTGCATAAGGAAAATATAATCCTTTCAGTCTTAAACAATCGGCTTTGCCATATTTTACAGCCAGGTGTTCTGCATGGACAGGTTGTGATACGTATATAATGTTCGATTTCAAATTCCGATGAATAGATGCGCAAAAAAAGGTGACCTAATATTTGGAGTAGTTTCCTTTTACATTAACAAACCTTTAAGTATCAGCTTACCGGGGAAATTTCAAAATACATATATACTCATTGGAATATAACAAAAATCAACGGGTAAGATTTTGTGTGTTATTGATCGAAACAGCTGGTAATGACATAACAATTTGTAAACGTTGTTTGTTCGTTATGTATTACTCCGCGTCTTAATATTTAGGTCAAGTATTTTAAGCTATTTCAAAGTGAGCTATATGTACTGCAGTCATTCGTGCTCATGTTGATTCTCATCACTGGAAGATAAATATTAAATGAAAAGAAATAAATCTGATATTTTTTTCTTTGATCATATTATCAAAGAGAATTTGGACGGAAAACTTTTTCGCCAATGCGTTACGCGCATTCATGTTTTCAGCATAAGTGTCTTTGCTGATCTGATACGTCGATCAAAGAAAAAATATAAGATTCATTGCTTTATTCATGTTATTCATTTTAAATTTTCACAATTCAAGAGCACTGACTGAAATAAGCTGTCGGAGTTATTTATTCTCTTTACTTTTACAGGTGACAGTATGTTAGACACGGGGAATTCTGCCCGTGATCTGTCTGGGATGTACTTCAGCACCCCGGACAGAGATAACGACAGGTGGAGTAGTCACTGTGCTGATGACTGGGGAGGAGGCTGGTGGTTTAACGCCTGTTACTCCGCCTTCCTCAACGGTCCCTGGTACCCGGGATCCTGGACCAATCCATGGTATCCAACAGTGAGATATGGTAGAGAGATAAAGGAGACTCTCATGATGATTAAACCTCACTAACTGTGTAAAAATGTATGTGACACAATATTTAATCAATTCTGAGTTTTCTTGTACTTGTACATACAAAACAAATATTTTTATCATAAATGATCGAATTGATGATATTACACCAGTCATTTTGATGTGTCCGGTCTATTAGTTTTGTAAATGAAGTTATTGATTTAATTGCACTATGTAATGAAGTTTTGGTTTACATCTAAACCCGTCATGTAATGATGTTCTGTATCTAATCGGATGGTGAACTTATTGGAAAAATACACTTTTCTTATATTTCTTGCATTCAATGAATGCAAAATAATGATCTCAGTATTTAATTATAGAAAGAAGTTACTCTTGTTGAATTATTGTAAATAAACCTATGTACTTATGGTTGGATTTCAGATTTATGTTTTCATACTAAAATATGTTTGTTTACCTAAAACGAATTCTGCTTTATTTTTTTCAAATATTTAAACACATAATAATAAACTGTGTAGGGCAATGTATCATCACCCAAACCTACGTTCTGAGATCCTTAGGGAGATCTTCCTTAGGAAATTCAGACATTACACTCTTCTTGTTTGATGTAATTCTATGTAGTCGGATGTGGCCTTCATTCTGCAAGACTTCCTGGTAAGTTCCAATAAACTCACTGCTGCTTCAGGTAAAGACGTGGACGTCAGTGTATCGTCAACATATAATTGATTGTATGTTGTTTTAGGTCCCGTACGAGAATTTTTCACTCATATAGAGAGGTCATCATATACCGGTGAAGGGCTTCAAATTTAGATCTTTTCTCGGCACTCAGGGCCATTGAGCAGTGAGGGGTCTTTACCGTGTCAAAGCCTACCGTGTCACGGGGCCTTGGTTTTTTAAAGTCTCATCCAAAGGACCCGCAACTTTCACTTCAAAGTGCCGAGCGCATGGCGAAGGAACAGTTGCTACCTATTTTTTTTATCGACTTAGGTCAGTCGCGGCCGTGATTCGAACACGACGACCTTCCGATCACGGAGCTAGCGGTCTACCGACTGAGCTACCGTGACGGTCCATCGTCAACATAGAAATCACTATTAACAAATTCTCAGCATCATTGTCAGCCTTTTGTACCTCTCTTCTCAGTCCACTAGTGGCTATGGCAGGGGACGGGCCGTTACCGAAATCATGGACTGTCATACGATACTCTACCATTGGAGAATTAGGGTTATTGTCTTCAAACTAGAAGAACCGCAGGAAGTCTAGATGTTCAGGTATGACGAAGAATCTGTAGAACATTTGCTCTATATCTGCTGTAATTACACATTCATCGTTTCTGAAATGCAGTACGTCCAACAAACTGTTGGTCAAATTTGGTCCCATTAGCAACAGTCAAATACTCCCCTGATCTTGTGGGTATATTTGGATGACATACCCCGAAAAATTGTAAATACCATCTTTTTTTCTCATCATCCTGTAAATCTGGTGCCTTTTCTGCAGCGTGGATTCGGAAAACCTTGTCCATAAAGGTAATAAAGTGGTTCAGTTTCTCTGGACTCCTTTTAAGATTGGAATCTAGTTGTAACTTTGCAATACTTGTAGCCTGTTTTGGGAAGCCGAGCCCTTTGACTTTTGAATGGTACAGGGGCCATCCATACTCCAGAGGAGTCCTTCCTGAATGTTGAGTCCATTAACTCTCTGAGCTTTTGATCTTCGTAAGACGTATCTATTTTCTCATCCTGTTGGGTTCTAACAAAGGGATTCTCTCCAATGTGAGATTGAACTGGCTGCTCAAGCAAAAGTTTTGAGTCAAATGGGTTGAAAATTGTTCTCCTATCAGTCAATAGTAAGTTGGTTTTCAATACATTGATGTTGTCTCTACGGAACTTGCCAATACAAACTTCTCCCACGACCACCCAGCCCAAACTCAACCTTTGAGCAAATGATGCTACATATGGACCTGTTATTTGATGTTAAACATGTTGAAAGTCAAGCAAATCAAGGCCAATAATTAACTGGACCCAGAGAATGAATCTGTCTAGCGATATGTTTTAAGTGAGAATGTGCCCTCGCTACTTCTGGGATTGGAATTTCTGAGATATTATTTGGAATTTCGTTATATTCAAATACTGTTGGCAATGTAATATTGGTTTATCCCATGCATTGATTTGACCATAAGCCCTCCAGCTCCTCTGACTGTTTTCTGTTCGGTACCTGCACAATTGACAGTGTGTAAGCAGCCTGAAAACCTTCTACAGAGAGCTGATCCAAAAGTTCTGTCGATGCTAAAGTCCTATTACTATGCACGTCCAGATGAGTATACGTTGTGATATTCATTTCAGTTTCCCTTTCCAGATACACCTTAACGAGCACAGTCTTTGAACATGATCGACCATTGAACTCCTCTCCACCTAGTGTGGTGCATGACGGAACAACATATTTAGCTTTCTCCCCGCCAAGAGCTCTTGTTACATCCAGACTGTCTTTTGATGTTCTATTGGCAACAAATTCAGTAGCATTTCTTCCTTCCATATGTAACGCCGTTGGGTGTTAGTGGCTTTTGGCGCATTCCTCAGATTGTCTACAATCTCTCATCAAATGAGTCGTAGATGCGCAACATTTAGAATAAATGCCTCTTCGCTTCAACAACTCTCTACGTTTCCTAATGTCCCTTTTTAAGAATCCCCTGCACTGATTCAGCGAGTGTTCTTTCATATGCACTGGACATATTTTGTCTTGACTACTACTAATACTAGTCTTGACATCTGTCTTCCTAGCAATAACAGGTTTCTGGTTTCCAGTCACGTATGAACCAGTAGTTGATTTAGAGGTGTGTGTCTCAATTGTGTGAAAAAATGTTGGATTGTTGCGGATCTTGCTCATTTCCTTGACAAAGTCTAGTACAAAGTAAAATGGCGGATATGGAACATCATGCTGTTTTTTGTAGTTGGCTGCTCTCATGGTCCATTTTTCCTGAAGATTATACGGCAGTTTGTTGATAATTGGAGATACACCAGATGATGAGTTGAAATACGAGAGCAGCATAGAATACTGTGGATTTCCAATCAATGCTTCTATTTCAATCATGATATCTACTAACTCGTATAATTTCTTATTGTCTTTAATTCCAGACCTTGGGAAATAGTTGAGCTTGTTTTTAATTGAAGACTCGACCGTCTCATGTGCACCAATCTTTTCATTTAGACGCTCCCAAATTTTTGTTACTCCCCATCTAGGATCAAAACCTATCGAAGGCCTTATACATTTAGCATGTCTAGCAGAATCTGGGCCTAGCCAGCGAATTAACAAGTCTAATTCCTCTGAAGGATTAACTCTGAGATCATTCTTGATGTCTTTGAAATTCACTTTCCAGGAAGAGTAGTGTTCCGACTTGTCATCAAAAACAGTAAGTCTTGCCATCAAAAGATCTTTCTTTAGAACGAGAGAAGTAAGTTCTGATGCCACATTGTTATCGTTGCTTGGTGTATGACGACGAAATGGATCTCAGTCACGGTGATCAGATGAGATACAATGCGAGTTTGAGAGTCCAAAATGTAAAGGATGAACTATAGGATCATGAAAATGTTCAGCAGCATATCTCTCAGTTCGACTTCTTTCCACCGGTAATCGTATAGGAAGAGGAGGAGAGTCGTCCCAATCTTCTCCAACAAAGGCTTCTCAAACAGCCTTTGCCTCCGCTTCTAATTCAACGGCTTCCTATTTCAAACTTATATCATTTAATACTACATTTAACTTCTCCTCTTCTTTTTTGTGTCTAATTTTTGCCAACTGTTTTTGAATACCGGCTTCCTCTTCGGCCAACTTTATCTTCGCCTTTATTTCTTCTAACTTAATTTGAACCTTTGTTAACCGTGATGTAGAAGAGCCAGCAGAGGTATTCACAGTAGATCTCGCATCTGCGTTTTTTTTTTTTATATAATCTTGATTTGCGTCAAAGCAGATTTAAATATTCGATCACTGTTTTCACTTGATCGTTCCAGAACACGTAACTCATTGTTGCTCTCGTCAATTTTCGTCACTTTCATGAAGTGGATGTAATCAGAGCACAAAGCTACATAGTAGTCGTATCGCTTGCGGGGATCAGACTCCATGGTGTCCACCGTGCTGCCGTCCGCTTCGAATGTGTCTTCCAAAATCTTTTGAACATCATTCCATATGCTTTCTCTGTCTTGTTTCTGTAAGCACAACTCCTGTTATTATAAAGATCCGATCTTTTTTTCTGTTAATTTTCTGGCCCGTTCATTGTCTTCTGTAACCATCTCTGGTCTCGTTGTATTCTGCTATAATGGATTCTAACTGTACTGCTTTATTGCCTTTGTCCAATAAAAATGCAAATTGCAATAAGTTCAACCGTTTATTTCACCATGAGGTTATGGCTAGATCTGAAAATATTACAATAAATCGAATAGAAACAGAGAAAATAATACTTGAAGTTACAGCCAAACGCTTTCTAGGAGGTAAATAAACGTAACATGACAAATGACAACGCAGCTATGTTAAGGCTTCCCGAAGCTTTAAAATGCGCTCAAAACATAATATGTCATCAGGTCATTGCGAGGTCGGTTTTGGTTTTAATTTATAAGTTTTGAACTTAAGTATTTCTAATTTATATAGAGGGTTTCCTCGGCTATATATTAACATATTTGTTATGATATCACATGACTTTGTTGATCACGTGACGGTCATTTATAATTTTTTGAAGTGTTTCATATAAATCGCTTCGGCGCAGTTGATTAACACAATAATGATTAACATTTTGTTATATAAATAAACTCATCGTATCCTTGTGTATCCGAAATGTGCTTGGGAAAAGTCATAGTATTACTAAGATACAAAATATTTCCTGAGAAATTTAACTTACCTACAAATTTGAGGATATTTTCCACACAATATCGTAATCTGTATTAAAACAAAGCCAACACACATTTTTCCCACGAAAGATTCAGTTAAAGAACAACCTCTTCTTACAGATTTCCACAAAAATTCTCGGATTAATCCTAATTAAACACCTGCGCCGGACTCTTTTATACACACAAAATAAATTCTACCTCCAACCACGGGTATAAAACAGAGTACATTTCAAAAGTATATTTTTCATAAGCATTTTGAACATGCTGAATTTCAATCAAGGGTAGGTAAGCCCTGTATTTTTAAAATATTCGTACATATAAGACTTAAAAAACCTCTAACAACCCGTGAATTTTGCAATGGCTATCTAGCATTTTACATGCAGTTTGAAATAAAATTAAAGTTCATGACACTCTTATCGTCATAACACCTCAAGTTTGCAGTTACTTGACGTCATAATCCATTATGACGTCATATTTTGGTAGTTCAGAGATGTGAAGGCACAGAGTGCACTGTGATATTCTACGAGAAGCCTTAACCTACCTGCGTAGAAC